TTGCCGTTTTGTTGCCCAATCTACTATATTTGAGCGATTTTTTGAAGTTCAGCACAGTCTGCTTTGGTCTTAACTATCTTGAGCAGTTTAGTATTGTCTGCAAACTTTGCCACCTCACTGTTTACCCCTTTCTCCAGATTATTTATAAATAAGTTGAATAGGATTGGTCGGAGGACTGACCCTTGGGGAACACCACCAGTTACCCCTCTCCATTCTGAGAATTTACCATTAATTCCTACCCTTTGTTCCCGGTCTTTTAACCAGTTCTCAATCCATGAAAGGACCTTCCCTTTTATCTCATGACAACTTACTTTATTTAAGAGCCTTTGTGAGGGACCTTGTCAAAGGCTTTCTGGAAATCTAAGTACACTATGTCCACTGGATCCCCCTTGTCCACATATTTGTTGACCTCTTCAAAGAACTCTAATAGATTAGTAAGACACGATTTCCCTTTACAGAAACCATGTTGACAATTGCTTTGTGGGCCCCTGTGTTTCAGGGGTGTGTGGGGTTCAGGGTTGCCCGGAAGGGTTAGCAGGGGCGCCTGGCGCTGGCAGCAGCCAGCGACCTGGCCCCAGCCCGCCCTGCTGGCTCCCAGCGTTACTTGGGGGAGGCAGCAGAAGCAGGAAAGAAGTGGAGCAAGGGCTTGGGGCCAGGGGCGGGGTGGGGCCAGGTCGCTTGCTCCTGCTGTCGCCAGGCCCCCTGCTAGCCCCCAGGCTTCCCTGGACCCCACGTGCCCAGTCTGTCCTCTGGACGGGATGGCTCTGATTAAATATAAGCCCAAACATTGGTGGAGCTAGGCCCATGTTCCTAAATATTGGTGGAGCCTGTGAAGGCTGGCTATATTTTATATAGATAAGCTAACATAATATGCAGATAAGGGAGCCCGCAATCTCCACATCCCTGGCCCCCAGATCTGACAGCGCGCCCCCCAACGGACCCGGACCCAGCTCCGGGCCTGCTGCAGGGCCGCTCCGTGCTGCACCGACCGGGGCCCCTCCAGGTTCAGCACGGCACTGAGAAGCCGAGATCCCGCAGCTCCCGGGCACTCGCGAGACACCAGGCGCTAAGGCTGAGCCGGCGCTCTCCCCCAGCAGGGGGCGCTGCGCCGCCAGCCCAGCCCAGAGCTCCGCCCACGGGGAGCTGTCGGTTCCGCCAATCAGGCTGTCCGCGCGGAGAGGCGGGGCCTGTGGCGCGGCCCCGCCCCGGCCGCAGTGTCCCTGACGGGGCTCCGTCCGTAGCCGGGTGGTTGTTGTGACTGAGGGGCGCGGGCGGGTGAGTGTCTGCGGGCCTGGCCCGAGCCCGGTTCCCGAGCGCCCTGGGCTGTGGGCGTTGTAGCTCCTGGGTGTGTCGGGGGCTGGGACCGGTGGGGGGCTGCCCCTGGGTGGGAGCGGACGGTCGGGGGCTGGAACTGAGGGGAGGGGGTTCTGGGCGGGAGTGGATGGATTAGGGGCTGGTGTGTGTATGTGTGTGTGTGTGGGGGGGGTGTCCTTGGGCGGGGATGGGAGCTGGTGGGGGGGCCTGGGTGGGAGTGGGTGGGTCGGGGGCTGGTGGTGGGAGCAGGGGCCCTGATGGGAAGTGGGTGTTCCTAGACTAAAAGCCCATGGGCTCCCTCAAAATAAAAGCAGTGAGATTGGTGAGTTACCTTTGCACCCAGCTGAAGCCTAGGGTAGTTCAGCAGGGAGCCTGTGCCTTCTGGGAGCAGGAGAACCGCGGTAGATTATTCAGGGTGATGGGGACTAAGTGACCGCTGTGCTGGGTGTAGAGCTGCTTGCCTGGGGGCTAGGACAGATGTATCCACAACTAGTGCAAGCAGCCTGTGGGCCTTGGAGCCCAAGTCCATCTTCTGCAGTCAGCTTTGCTGTGCTGCAGGCCCAAAGAGATGGCTCTAGTATGCATGTGGTAGCACCTCTGGGGTTCCCCCTTTCACTTCAAAAACAACAAAGAGTCTGGTGGCACCTTAAAGACTAACAGATTTATTTGGGCATAAGCTTTCGTGGGTAAGAACCTCACTTCTTTGGATGCATAGAGTGAAAGTTACAGATGCAGGCATTATATACTGACACTTGATACTTGACGGCTACCCCCTGATACCTTTCACTTCAGGCATTCATTCACTTTGTTCTGCATGAAAAGTGTGTTGTATAATCCCCCAGTGTGCAGCAATGATCTTTAGGTAAAACATGAATTTTCTGACAGATTAACTAAATCTGAGTTTATTTGTGAAAATTAATTAAAAGTGGGCTTTTTAAGAACTTTCTCCAGCATTTGACCTGTTGTTCCTCTCTTTCTTGCTAACAAAGGGCTGGCTTTCTGTATAGTTGAAGCTTGTTGCCAGCATTCCTCAAATGTATGCTGAGGCCTGGTCTACACCTAAAATTTACGTCAAACTAGCTACATGGCTCAGGGCTGTGAAAAATTTCGCGCTGGCACTTGGGTTGACCTAACCACTGTGGTCGCAGCCAGGTCAATGCTACAGCAGTGTGTCTCAACCTTTTTGTGCTGGTCACCCTGCCCTCTCCCTTCCCCCCCCCCCAAATTGTGACCCTTGTCCTTAAATATCATTAAGTAAATTATGATTAATACTTAGGGCTGGCAAGCAAGGCCCCATGCCACATGGGGCCCCATAAAGCTAAGTTACATGCTTCAGCCCCAGGCGGGGCTTTGGCGTGGGCCCAGGGTGTGGGCCACCCAGCCCGTGGGTCAGTGTCAATGCTTCCGCATCCAGTGTTGGCTCTGCTCCCAGAGACCATTGCACGTGCCTTCTGTGGGATCCCACTCTTTAGTTTCTGCTCTGGTCCCCTGCAAGTCTTACTCCGGCCTTGCTTGCGACCCCTTTAAAACTCCTGCAATCTCCAGGTTGAGAGAAACTGTACTACAAGAACAGAAAAACCCCTTTAGTCACTGTAATAAGTGTCTACACTACAGAGCTACAGTGGCATAGTAGCTGTGCCAGTGTAGTGCTTATAATGTAGACATACGCTTAAAAGATTGGGTTGTAAGGTAAGCAAAGTTTGTCTTTCTGTCTTGCCCGTTATATTACAATTTTCCTTTCCTTGAAATGACTGTCAGTTCATATAACTTACCATGGACAGAAATTACTTATACTCTTAGTAAAAATGGTTGCAGTTTAACTGGAGTGGGGGCCTTTGTTTCCAAGAGGACTGAAGCTACAGGCTGTTGTCAAGAGAAGTGGCCTCCATTTTCCTAAAGCCTCTGGCAGTTTTGGAGCTTGAGAGCCAGTGTGTGATACAAGCCACTGGAATGTAGATTAGAATGGCTTTTCACTATAACACCTGGTTTTAAGACTATTTTCTTACTGTATGAAAAGATAAACATGTTTTAAGAGGGCACTGGAAAAAAGGAATGCTGTTCTCCTGTGGCCCATAAGAAGCCCTAATAATATTGAGCAAAACCTTAATTGCAGCCTTCCCATTCCCCATAAATACAGAATGCATAGTATGGCAACAGCAGGTACTCCAGGCTTTGTTGTAACCTGTGAGGGAGGTGAGTGTGCTGTGTAGCGTGTTTCATTATTTGGAGTCAGTAGGAGGTTTAGTGTGGTATGGAGCCTGTTGCTTTCTCTGAAAGTGGTGCTACATGGGTAGTTTGGTCCAGATAAGAGCTGTTCCATAACTTGCTTTTTAGGGTTTGCAGTAGAAGGGATATCATGTGTACCGAGTCTTAGTCCCTTTTAAGCACAAGCTTTTGTTTATGGCTATTATAGTGGCAATAAGGGCAGTAAAGTGGGCTGATCTCAGAACTGCCTGCTCTGATCATCTAGTTGATGAAACTGGCCTCATGAAGTGAGGGACAAAATAGAGGTAAGACAAGTGGATCATTCCTCACACGCTGGAGGTCACTAGATGAGGGGGGTATAGTAGTGAGAGAGGCTGTGGTAAGGACACACTTGTGTGGGCATCATTATACTTTATCTCGTAAAACAGCCTAAAAATTTACTGTCTTGTGAATGCTGTTGTGTACTGAACAGATGTCTCCACTAGTCACCGATTTCTTTCCTGAGAATTTACAGATTTTACAGAACTTGTTTGTTTCCTATGTGCATTATGACCTTTTACATGCCTTCACTGAACAACTTCTTCTCTTTTGCTGCTACTTCTGTTTGGCCTTTGTGGCACTCCTCACTGTTTTTCCTAGTATATGCTAACCAAAGTCAACATGTGCCTTTGGTAGATTGCTACAAACCACTCCATCTCCTCTCCCAGATAGTTATCAAATATCTTGGACCTCACCAGCTCTAGCACTAATCCATAAGTACCCAGCTTCTAATCTTTCCATACTGAGAATTGGCCCTCTATCCCTGTGCCTTGCTTCCTTTTGCATTAAGCAGTTGTTAAATTAATTGCAGTGGCAGCGGTTCACCTTTCATGCTGTTGCTATCATTTTTCTTAAAGCTTGTTGGGGACTCTGTCAAAATTCTTTAGAAAATCCGAAGTGCTATACATTGGTCCCTGTTCTGCTGGGTTTTTTTAGCTGTTTTAAAGTGTTCTGGCAGGTTAAAATAAGTACAGTTTTGAGAAGGGTAAACTGAGTTCCCTATCTCATAATACACCTCAAGGTGTTGTATTAACCTGCCTTTACCTGGTTTTCACAGCTATTTTTTCTGAAGCTAAAGTAAAGTGTCATGCTTGTTGACCGTTCCCAAACAACTTTTTTAAAACTGCACATGCAACATAGCAACTAGCTTTAAGGGTAAAACATGGAACTGGAAGGGATCTTGATATGTCTAGTCCAGTCCCCTGCACTGAGGCAGGGCTTAGTATTATATTCTGGACCATCCCTGACAGATGTCTAACCTCTTCTTAAAAATATCCACTGACAGATATTCCACAACCTCCCTAGGCAATTTGTTCCGGTGTTTAATTACCCTGACAGTTAGGAAGTTTTTCCTAATGTCCAACCTAAACCTCCTTTGTTGCAATTTAAGCCCGTTGCTTCTTTCCATATCCTCAGTGGCTAAGGAGAACAAATTATCACTCTCCTTTTAATGACAACCTTTTATGTACTTGAAGACTGTTATGTTCTCGCTCAGTCTTCTCTTCTCCAGACTAAACAAACCCAGTTTTTTCAATCTCTTGTCATAGGTCGTGTTTTCTAGACTGTTGATCATTATTGGTGCTTTCCTCTGGGCTTTCTCCAATTTGTCCACATCTTCCTTGAAGTGTCGTGCCCAGAACTGGACACAATACTACAGTTGAGGCCTTATCAGCTCTGAGTGGAGTCGAAGAATTATTTCTTGTGTTTTGTTTACAACACTCCTACTAATACAGCTGTCACGGATCCACAGGATTGGTGCTTGTCCCTAGTTTTGGGACACGCTGTAGGACAGGGGTGGGCAAACTACAGTCCGCCAGCCGTTTTAAGCTGGCCCTCAAGCTTCCACTGGGGAGTGGGGTCTGGGGCTTGCCCCACTTGGCACTCCAGCTGAGGAGTTGGGGGCCACTCCACGTGGCTCTGGGAAGCTGTGGCATGGCCCCCCTCTAGCACTCCAACCGGGGAGCAGGGTCGGGGGCCGCTCCACGTGGCTTCCGGAAGCAGCTGCATGGCCCCACTCTGGCGCTCCAATGGGAGCTGCAGGGGTGGTGCTTGCGGGGCGGTGTGCAGAGCCGTCTGGCCGTGCCTTCGTGTAGGAGTCGGAGAAGGGATATGCCCCTGCTTCCGGGAGCTGCTTGAGGTAAGCGCCGCCCGGAGCCTGCACCCCTGAGCCTCTCCCAACGCCCCAACACCCTGCCCTGTCCCTGATCCCCTTCCCACCCTCTGAACCCTTGATCCCAGGCCGGAGCACCCTCCTGTAACCCAAACTCCTCATCCTCAGCCCCACCCCAGAGCCCACAACCCCAGCTGGAGCCTGCGCCGCTTCCTGCACCCCAACCTCCTGCCCCAGCTCTGACCCCCTCCCGCCCTCCAAACCCCTCAATCCCAGCCCAGAGCACCCTCCTACACCCCAAACTCCTCATCCCCAGCCCCACCCCAGAGCCCACACCCCGAGCCGGAACTCTCCCCTCCCCTCTGCACCCCACTCTCCAGCTCAGAGCCCCCTCCTGCATTCTGAAGTCCTTATTTCTGGCCCCACCCAGAGCCTGCACCCCCTCCCGCACTCCAACCCCAATTTTCTGAGCATTCATGGCCCGCCATACAATTTCTATTCCCAGATGTGGCCCTTAGGTCAAAACATTTGCCCACCCCTGCTCTAGGAGGAACCTCTTCAGTATGCCGGACCCCCTAGGGCCTCACCCATCCTGCACAGGATTGGACTCTTTAGACTGAACTGCTGGTGCTCCAGCACTCCTACCTCACCCCGTAAGCTCTGTTAAAGCTAGTTCACATGAGATGGACCCCGGTAGAGACTTGTACATTCTTTAGGGATTCATGTGCCTCTCCAAACATTTGCAGTGACACTTCAACACCGTTGTCAAAACAGTCAGGTTTATTAGTCAACTGGAACTCAGCTTAGGAAGTCCTTAGAGTAGCTAAGAGAACTGAAAGTTAAAGCATAGCCCAAGTCCATTCTGATTAGTCAGATCCCAGACAAGCGCTCTCTCTCTCTGTCTGACCTCTTTGGTCAGTTCCCAGGTGAGAGTCCCAACTCCTTCCAGCAGCCAGGTCCTATTCCCCGCCACCTCACATCTCCCGGCCTTTGTTCTCAAGCTGGGGGATGTTACTCAGTTTTCCTACTGAGAGGTGGGGAAATCTATCTCCTTCTGGGTTGTTGGTTGCTAGACATTGATGTCCTGGTGACTGGTTTGCTATTGTTTTCTTGGCCAGGCTTTTCCCAATGACTCATTTAGTCTGACAGATAGGCAACATTCATATTGTACCTGAGTCACTTAACCTGCCTTGAGAGCAAACAGTCCTTTCCCACCCACTGGGTATCACTACTATGTATAGGAGAAACTGAGGCACACAAAGATTCATAAAAATTACCGAAAATTCTCACATCCTCACAACATCCCAGAATGATGATGATGATTATTTTTTTTGCAACAGTATTACACTGTTGACTCCTGTTTAGTCTGTGATGTGCTATAACCACCCCATCCTTCTCTGCAGTACTTCTTCCTAGGCAGTCATTTACCATTTTGTATTTGCACAGTTGATTATTCCTTCTGAAGTGGAGTATTTTGCGTTTGTCCTAATTGAATTTCAATCTGTTTAATTCAGACTTTCTCCAGATTGCCAAGATCATTGTGGCTATTATAGAACACACGTGTGTTGTGTGTTGCTTTCATTGTTGGGTTCTTGTCCGGCTCTCAGATGAAAGCTATTCTGGGGGGTTAGTATATCCTAACTTTGAGTTGTTCCCATAATTTTGTTTTTCATTACACTCCACTGGAGAGGTGAGAGAGTGCCCCACCATCACAACAGTTCAGGGCAATTGTGCAGTAGGGATTGCTCCATTGCTCTGGTGGAATTGGAAGAAATCCTGTTTTCTCTCTACAATCCCTTGTTTCTTCCTTTGCTGCCTGTTGGCCTAGCAGTCCCAACTTACCTCCTCCCACCAATGGGCTTCCTGCGGTACTTAAATTGTTGACTTGGGTCTCAATTTTTCCTCTGAGCTGCCCTAGTCTCCACCCGCACTTTACTTGGTGCTGTTTCCACTGGGTGCAGGCACTTGCTTTGCACTGCCTGCTTCCTGTCTGCTCCTTTTCTTCCGAGCAGGGAACACACTGAAGTTGATCAGACAGCTGTTCTCCAAAGGACTTGTGGGAGGATTGTAGTGATTTTCAATAGAGTGTTTGCTAACAAACAGTAGATGCACAGCACTTGTGAGCCAGAACACAACTGGCAACTGACACATCTGCTGTCCTTAGCAGCAGCCTTTAAACAACATGGGTGATGTCTAGAGAACCGTGCTTTCTGCCGGTGATCTGCTCAGGGTGAGAACTTGGGTACCTGTGGGTAGCTCTGAGGTAGTACTCTGTTCCCAATATTACTAGAACTCAATCAGAAATATTCAGGTTATGCTAGGTTTTCACCTTGAAAACTGCTTCACCAGTAGCTCATTCACTTCCAGCCAAATTAGTTGCTGTCCCTGTAAAAACCCCTTGGGTGCTCTATGGCTCCTCTGCTTTGTAAGCAATGTGGTTCTGCTTTTGTCTGGTTCAGGCCTCTCTCTGTCTTCCGCCATCCCTCTTGTACAACTTGTCAAACAGAAGAATGAGGTGTCAGTCTATTCCTATCTCTGCGGGCATGTGGGGTATTGTCAGGATGAGTGTGGGAACTGCTAGGTTGGTATTTGTTCCACATGGCTGTCCCTGAGCCCCTTCTCTAATGAGGCGTGTCTATGCTGGGCACTGATGTACTGCTGCTGCCCAGTTTCTGCGCAGTGGTACTAGGTGTGGGGCAGCCTAAGCTCTTTGGTGGCCGTAGAGCCCATGGGGGTCGAGGGCACTATCTGGTGCATGCAGGCGCTGAGTCGCATGACCTGGGTCAGGTGCTGGGTATCGCTGAATTACAATGTGTTATGATTGCCTTGTCTCCCACTCCCCCAGGCCTCAGGTGAGACTGAGGGTGGGGCTGGCAGCCTACTCCAGTTAACTTCCCTGGTTGGATGGCAAGCTCTTCGGGCAGGGACCCTGTTAATTGACTGACATCATCATGTACACGTTCAGTGCCATGTTGGGCACTTCTAAAGCCAGGGAAACCTAAGTGACAGTCTGTACTTGCCTCTGATTCATAATGATGGGCAAGAGCTAAGGGACCTTTCTCACCAACAAGTCTCCTTGCTCCTAATGACAGACTGGTGTGCCTTCCTGTTTCAACTTCGGCCTCCGTGGTGGTTCACACAGCTGTGAAGAATGACGTCGAGAGGTGCTGGGACTGCCTTTTCCCGGAGGAACTACAGGCTAAGCAATGAGTCTGAGAAGCCCAAGGTCACAGGTACGTGCCCTTGCATAGTGTGTAGATGTGCGGGTAGGCTGGCACACCTGTTTCCTAGGCTGAGTTCTTCACAAAAGCCAGTTAGCAGTTTCTAGTTGACACTGAGGATTTTCCCCACTTCCACCCTTTAGTGCTGCCGTACCACTGCCACCTCCCCAGTGTGACAAGAGTAGCTGCAATTTGCACTGGGGCATCTTACCCCACTTTTGGGCAGGGACAAGCTGTCCTGGTGCCAATGGCAGTGAACTTACTTGTTGCCCCAGTGCAGCTGCACTGGGGGCTGCAGTTGGGCAAAATTCCAGGGCAGACAAGACCCAAACCCTTCCTAAGAGCCCAGAGGGGTTTTGTCTTCTGGAGTTGGGGGCCCTTTTCACTGCTCTAAGAGCTTCTCCCTCTTGTCTGTGTCCAAGACTCCCTTGCCACAGTGGTTTTCCTCTGCATGCAGCTCCTCTACCTGCGGCAAAAGCGTGATGCCTCAGACTCCTTGTCTTCACCCCTTCTGACTTGGGGAGCTGCTTGTGCAGTACTTTGAGGCTGCAGGGGATTATAGTTTTCATCTGAACCCCTTTCTGGGCAGCTTATATATCCACCAGGAACTCATCTTCCCATTTATAAGTCCAGTGTTTCTGGGTGCAGCATCAGAGGCCTTGAAGTAAGAAGCTGTGCCAGTGTTTGCAGATGATTTTCCTTTTGGTGAAGTAGAGTGTAAGGGCTTGTCTGTATGGCAAGTTAATGTGCGACAAGCTGGGCTGTGAATGTACCATAGCAAAGGAGGTGCAGTTGATATTTCTGAGGTGTTCTTCCTGACTTCCCATTGCTTATCTTTCTTTTGCTGTTCATTACAGGGATAGTGAACAGCAAGCTGCTGAATGACTATCTGCACCGCATCTTTCCCAGTGCTGATGGGATCCAGCCTGCAGCTGCTTACAGGTACTGGTTGCCTTCTAACTCTTACATGGCGAGTGAAGCTGCACCTGCCTTCCTCCGGACACGTCATGACGTGTCGGACTGGGAGATCCTTTCCAGAGTCAGTCAGTAACAAAGCCTCTCTGTGATGCTGGCATTAGGGAAAAACAAGCCAGTGGAAGTGCATTGTATTACAGAAGTCTCTTCTTTAATGGCACTCACAATTAGACTTCCAGTGCCTGACTTATAGAATTGTGCACATGTAATTGCAGGCCTAAGTTGCTTGGAGATGTACAGTAAATGTAGTGGTTGCATGTACTTAGGGCCAGCTATGCATCTACCTGATCAATCATGCACATGCTTGCCCAGTTTGCTTATGCAGTGACAAGTGCTGCAGAAATGTTGTGTAAGCATTTGTGAAAATTGGGCAGTCAGTGCCCTGTAAACTAGACACAATGCTACTATTGTCATGTGTAATACAGAGACACTTCTTATGACAGTAATATTTCTTCTGTTGTCTCAGTCTTGGGAGCACTGTATGGTGACCTCTTTATTACTAAAACAACGAGGAGTCTGGTGGCACCTTAAAGACTAACAGACTTATTTGGGCATAAGCTTTCGTGGGTAAAAAACCCACTTCTTCAGATGCATGGAGTGAAAATTACAGATACAGGCATAAATATATATTGGCACATGAAAAGAAGGGAGTTACCTTATAAGTGGAGAACCAATGTTGAAGGCCAATTTAGTCAGGGTGGATGTGGTCCACTCACAATAATTGATGAGGAGGTGTCAATACGAAGAGAGGGAAAATTGCTTTTGTAGAGAGACATCCACTCCCAGTCCCTATTCAAGTTCAAATTGATGGTGTACGTTTGCAAATGAATTGTCCATCCACCCTGACTAAATTGGCCTTTTTTACCCACGAAAGCTTATGCCCAAATAAGTCTGTTAGTCTTTAAGGTGCCATCAGACTCCTCGTTTTTGTGGATACAGACTAACACGGCTATCTCTCTGATACTTGGTATCTTTATTATTAGGTGTCATCTGAAGGAAATTGCTTGTGCAGGGCAAAAGTAAAGTTAGACACCAAGCTGTGGCATTGAAATTCTTTTTATGCTTTCAACTCTGCTTCACATTCCATGGGTCAGAATCCTGGGGCGTCTTGTTGCGTAACTCTTGTGTTCAGCTTTGCCACTGGAAGGCCTGTAGGCTCGGGGTGGGTACAGTTGCAGTTGGAATGGTGTGGAGCCCCTCTGGTGAAATGTTCCTCTTTCTGTCTGGCTGTGTTTAAAAGGCGCTGGGGGTCACATTCCTCCCACTATGCTTAGATTCTGAGCTCACATCTGATCTGTCATCACCTCTAAAAATAACACTGGGCCCTCTTGGCTGTTGGTAAGCTGAGGTTATGGGGGGAGGAGGGAGGACTGTCTCATGTTACTTTACCACAAACTTTCCAGCAGCATGCCTTGGAATATTCCATTTGCACCAGCATGTCAGTTTTCAAAACTCCAATTCTTTTGTTTGATGACTGGAGCCTTAAGGGCATAGGGGCTGATGACCAGGAAAGGATGATTGGTCCAACAAACTGGCTTCTGTTTGGTTTTCTCCTCTCTGCTTCCCTGGACTTAACTGAGAAGTGGAAGGCTGTTGCCTGATCCCAGTACATTACCATCTCAACTCAGGTGCAGACAAACAGAGCTCTTGGCTAATGGAACTTGCCATATTGAAGCAGATCTTCTAGGCTGCTGTGCTCTCTGGTAGTGGTCTGTACTGTGCTTGGGTGGAGCTCCCTTTAAACATCCGCACAGCTATCTCATTATCCTCCTTCAAAGCCCTCCTGCAGGTGCGCCAAGACCAATTCCTGTCATGCTGTCCAATACTGTTTCCTTGAGCGCCCCCATCTGTCTGTCTACATTGTCTCTCGTTTTATATTTAGATTGTCAGCTCTCTGGGCCAAGGACTGTCCTTTTGCTCTGTTTGTACAGCACCTAACACAATGTGTTCCTGGTCCATGAATGGGGCTTTAGGCACTGTGGTAATAGTAATACAGTTGGCCAGTTTCACAGTACTCTCCATGGAATTGCTTCTGACTTCAGCTGATCAGCACCAAGACTTGAGGGCCTTTGGTAATTTAGCTTATTTCTCTGCAAACACTGTTCTTCTTCATATGTCTCAGCCTTTGATCCTAGCATGCCTGTCTGCCTCAAGTTCCTTCCATTAATGATATGTAACACAGATAAGTGGAACTTATTACTGTGAGCTTTACTATAAATAGCAGCAAAGGACAATGCGGGGGACAGTCAGGCAGCTCTGGCTTACAAGCTACCCAAGGTGTGAACTCGTTAAACCTTGGTGACACACTGAGTTTTGAAGGGCTCTCTTCTTTATTCCCAGGAAGCCACTGACATTCCAGAACCTGCAGGAGCACCTCGACAAATTGCTGGCAGAGGACAGTGGTGCGGAGGACAGTCGAGGTAGGAGATATTGGGTGTCTGCTCCTCTTGGAGCTTCCTTGTGTGCCTTATTGGGAGAAGAATCAGTCTCATGGGAGACTGATTCCTAAATGAGCTTGGTTCTTGCTTTCCTATGTTCTGATTCATCATCTATTTAACTCCTGGATTCTAAGCACTTGTGGGCTAACCCTGCAACAGATCAGTTCTTAGTTGTAACAACCATGTTTCCAGATGGATAGTGGGGTGCTTGCTCCAAAGAATGGACAAACTCATTATGCAGTGAACTCTTGTTTGGGCAGGTGTGTTGGAGACATCTCCTTAGCAATGATATAGCAAGCTCTTGCTGCTGAGATTTCATACTGCAGAATAGCTGGAGTGTCCCATTCTTCAATGGAATAGGCAGGCTTGTTGATAGTCTCTGTGGCTTATTCTTCTGATGCATTCCTCTACTGTTGTTGAATTTCCTCAGCCCCACGCTTTTACCTGCCATGATCTGAGGCATTTGTTCCCTCCCCCAGTCATTAAAGCACAGTCCATAAGAGGTGATGCTTTGCCTCTTCATGTATCTAGTCATGAGCCTATATCTACAGTGTGAGTGTCTTGCTACCACTAGATGGGAATGTTTGGTCTAATGTTTGGCTTGGGGTTTAGCTTTGATGGCCTCCAGACTGTTTTGAAGCTACTGAAACTGTTGGGATAAATTTTCAAGGTGCTATATGAGACTGGGCATGTGACTTGGGTGCTGCATGGCTAAAACATCGTGCATTGCTTTGAGAACTTCTGTTTAAATTCCACCCTGAGCCCGCTGCCTCCTGGAAGTGCTGATAATCTGATGCTATAACTCTGTTCTACTGCTCCTCCTCAGCTGCAGAATCCAGGTGTTCTTTTCTAGTCTATACCATGGCGTCCACGAAACTCTTGTACTACAAGTGCCACGTGTCTTTCTCTGCTGCTCTGACTGGCTTTCATGCCACTCTCATTTCAGATCAGATATTAGAGGGGCGACTTGGTCCCTCTACTGTGGTGTTGGACCACATCAGTGGTTTTGAGGGACTCCTCCTGGTTGATGATGACCTACTTGGGGTGAGTGTGACAAGGAGCACTGTGTGTGGAATGGCCCATGGGGATTTAAAGGTCTCTCTTCAGGCCTGTGTTGTCCTCTTGCAATATGTTCTTCAGAGCAAATCCCCCTGCCGCCATTTTGGTGTGTTAAATGATGCTCTGGGAGGCTGTAATACTCCTGAATGAAACAGATTCTCCAAGAGGAGGAGTTCTGGCACTGCCTTCAAACTGCATTTTGGGCAAGCTGCTCCTGCTCTGGTATTATTGCATAGTCTGTATGAGATTCTGAGGTGGTTCTCAATTGTTTTTTGAAGTCACCTCGAGGTTGCATTGCATTTAGCCTGTATTCTGTGATACCCAGGTGCTGCAGGTTCAGTCAGTGAAAGATCAAAAGCAGCATGCAGGGCCGTTGGGTAACCAGAGGTCTCTGGTCAGCAGGGGCCAGGCAGTTCCCTCATCGTTCCCTTCACTAGCCTGTTGTCCATTCTCACTCCCTGGTTCACTCCCAACATCCATTCCCCCTGCTCCTGCCATGGTTCTGTGGGAGCCCCCAACACTGCACTGACTTGTTCTCTCCTCCTTCACTTGCTCTACCCCATTGGCCAAGCAGCCCTGCTTCCTGCCACCCACTGCCACCCCCCCCCCCATTGAGCCCTACTGCCTCCACTTACTGCAGCCTTTTCTCCCCCAGCACACTCATTGAAAGAGCAAACTGGCCCAGACTGCTGGGATCTAGCAGATTCTCCACCTGCCTTCAACGATCCTGCCCCTCACTGCCCCCTTATGTCCCTTGCCCCATGCTTACACCTCTATCTCAATCTCTTGTTGTTCTTCCTTCTCGGCCCTTCTTGCTTTGCCCACCACCGCCCCATCTCTATCCTCCCCTGGATCTAGAGTGCGTTGTCAAACTGATGTGTGTGTAAATTGCCTGTCACTCCCTGAACCCCCATCTCCTTGTCTGCCCTGAAATCAGGAGTCCCTTAGAGCATGGGTTGTCATTTCTCAGTGTCCGGAAAGAACCCGGTGGGAACCCTAATAAATACTCACTAATCCTTGTCTCCAGGCTGTCTATACTGAACCTGTGACTTCATCCTAGCTTCACATGGCTTATCTAGGATCCAGACATTTCTCCCGCTCCTCCTTGTACTCTCAGCAGCACCTGCAGCAAGCTATATTTACTTGGTGGTGGCTGCTGCTGCTGGGCCCTCCTGGTGCTGCTGAGCTCCTACTAAGCTCCTAACGTATTTGCAAACACCATGCGTTATGGGATGTATGCAATCCAGCAGCAAACAGTCTGGAGCTACCTGAAGATCCTGGGAATTGATATGCTTCCTTTGATAGCAACTGTCTCCCTGACTTATGATGGAAAAGTCTCCCCTGTGACTTGGGCTGCATGCAGTGGGAAGTGCCAGTGGTGGGGCCTGGGCTGGGGGAATCTATGGGCCTGCCTCAGCTGTACAAATCTCCCTTGTTTGTTCCTTGGTTCAGGTGATTGGCCACAGCAACTTTGGCTCCATCAGGGCCACAACCTGCGTGTATAAAGGTAAGTGCAGTGAGTGGATGGTGTGGCTAGAGAGCCTGCCATGGCAGAAGGGAGTTGCAGGTTACCCAGCTGGAGAGGCAAGGGTGTTTGTGATATGCTGCAGCCTCATCAAGCCTTTAAAACCCCAATCCTTCCACTTGGTCTGTGGGGATGGAAGGGAGGGAAGCCATTGTCTGATACCAAATGGGAGGAGTTGGCAGAGGGGGTTGGGCTTGACTTTAAGGTCCCCCCGGACATCACATCCTCTCCTGCAGTGGCAGTGTAGCTGCCTGCTCTTCTGTTGCACTGAGTTTTTAGCCTGTGCTGTTTGGCTCTGTCATCCCTGCTCTTCTCCTCTCTCTTACAGGGAAATGGATCTACGAGGTGCTCATCTCCTCCCAAGGGCTCATGCAGATTGGCTGGTGCACTCTCAACTGCAGGTTTAATCAGGAGGTACTGTAACTGCACAGCTCTGCAGCCTGTTCCTGGCCTGCATGCTGAGGTGGGGGGGCGTGTTCTGTTGTCTTGGTGCACTAAAGCTGCTTCCCAGCACAGTTTGTACACTGTAAATGTCACATCTTCATAAAATAATAAAGACCTCATAAAAGCGGTTTCTGCTGCATTTGCAGACTAGAGGGATTTGGAGGACACCTGCACTGTACCCGTGTGTTATGGGCTCATGCTGGATACACAACTGGGGACAGCAAACGCTGCATCTCAGGATACATAGGGCTCCCTGCTGCTCTCTCCTCTGGCACCCTGTTAGCATGATATACAGGGCTGATGGGAACAGTGGTGGCATCTGAGCCTCAACATGGTTCTTGCCAAAAAATGCTACATGGCTTCTCAGGCTGGCATAAGCAAAGCCTGTAACTTTTGCCAGGCATTTGGGGGCTGTTTGTTTCACTTGGAGTCTGGCCTGCCTGTTTTCAGTTTGTCCTTGAATGTTGATGTGTGATTGGCAGGGGGGACGGGGAGCAGCTGGTGGTGTCTCACTGGCTAGAGTGTTGGGTGTGTGGTTTGCTCCTGTTCTTTTTTTTGGGTTGAAGGTCAGTGGGGTGGTGGTCTGTAAAAAGGCATAGGAAGTGGGAGTGCAAGTGCCACTGGGTAACAGGATCTTTGAAGGCGCTGTGGGAGTGTAGAGAGCAATCTGCTGCTGCCCTGGGAGGATCACAGGTGATGCTCTGTGTTAGACTACAGATCTGGGGGCTGTGTGTGTGTCAATTACTAGAATTATGGTCCAACGCTCTTCTCCTTCCCCCAGCAGAGTGCTCATGCTGCTGAGCGCCAGAAAGCCCATTTTCTCTGCCCCATGGCTTTGCTCCCATTGCAGTGGCTGCCCCTCTGGGTGTGAGGTGCTTGGGATGGGCTCCTTGCCCCCAGACAGCTTGACTCTACTCTTAGCCTCCTCTCTACACAGGAGGGGGTTGGAGACACTCCGGATTCGTATGCATATGATGGAAACAGGGTGCGCAAGTGGAATGTCACCACCACCAACTATGGTAAAGTAAGTGCCTGCGCTCAGTGGCTCCCAAGAGGGAGCTCCCCTTTGCTCTTGGGCCTTCCCACCAGGTCACAGGTTAGGTCGCTAGTGGAGCACTGTGATTGCCGGGTCTAGCATTCCCCAGCTGCAGTGATGAGCTCTGCAGAAGCCTTAATTGGCATCGGCAGTGACACAGAGGTGTTGAGAGGAGCAGGCTCTGCAGGAGGGTGTGCAGCAGTTAGCAGAGCCCCGAGAGGCAGTGCTGCTCTCAAACCACACTGAACCCCATCATCGTCTTTGTGAATGTCAGCTGGGAATGAGCTGCTCTTTCCTTTGGGCAGGGGAAGAGAAGAGCTAGCAGAGCCATGTTCCCTTTAAAAGGGAAGGAAGAAGGTGGTTCCCTGAACTTTGTAAAACACTCCCGAGTGGATTGGTGAAACAAGGGGCCAGCCCCAGGTGAGCTTGGGGATGCAGGCAGCCTGATGATCACTGACCTGTGCTCCTGGTAGCACATTGCACCCTTACAGCACCTACGTATTCAGACCTAGCTGCTTGGCCATCTAGTTTAGTTCAGTTCACTGAGCAGCTGCTGATGGGAATGAACCTCAGCTTGGCGCTGTTACTGCTCTTGGGAGGGCACCATTTGGATTGCTCCTTGTTAAACAATGCTGCTGCCCTGTGGCTAATTCTACTGGGTTTGTGGGTCTGACACAGTCATGGTCCTACGCATAAACCTAGTGATGGCCAACAAGGAGAGCCTCTGAGTGTTGTGTGCACAACTGTGCAGAGGTGGCTGACGATGCTGTGTGAGCTTCTGTGGGAAGGAGAAGTCCCGTGCTTTTCTCACTAGACTTGGCCAAAAAAGGTTGTTGGAAAACAACCCAAATTGTTCTCTTTGCAAAACTGAAATCTTCACTGTGAAAACTTCTGATTTCTGTCAGGAAAGTCAGAATGAGTGCTCCTGGCTGTGCCTGTCTGCAAGGCTCAGTCTTAGAGAGACAATGATTCTATGATTCTAAGGTGAGTGAGGTCATATCTCTTATTGACCAATTTCTGTGGCGGACTGAGACATGCTTCTCAGGTCTGTGAAATGTACTCCAAGTGCCACAGCTAAATACAAGGTGGAACAGATTATTGAAGTAGTTTAACGCATTTCAAGGGACCATTCAAGGTGAAGTGGCCTGTTAACAGCCCTCCATTCATAGGGAGGAAAGGAAGGGCATGGGGAGCAGCTGGGGGAGGTTGGTAGTGGGTTATAGATTATTGTAATAAGCCATAAATCCAGTATCTCTATTCAGCCCATGATTTTTAGAGCTTAGCAAAGTTATGAATTTAAGCTCCCAGGCTTGTCTTTTGAGGGAATTGTGCTTCTTTGAGGATGAGGACTGAGAGGTCGGATATAGAGTGATCACTTTGGGAAAAGTGTTCACCCACAGGTGCTTGGGTGTGTTTTGTCTTTGGAAGTCTCTTGACATCTTTGCTTTCTGCAAGTGAAATTGACACAAGCTTTTCCGGGGGGCTGCTGAGACATAGTGCCTGGGAGCACAGTGCCTGGTCCCCCACCAGCTCTGGGAGGCAGAGCCTCCCACTGTACAGACTATCCTGAGGTGATGGACCCCAGTTTTCCATGGTGTCTGACTCTAGGGCAGCCTGGCTTTGCCAGAGCTTCCAGGGCCCCTGCTGTGGAGCGGGGAGCCCTGACTCTAACTGGGGGTGGCTCCAGGGGCCCTGGAAGCTCCTGAGAACCTTGGATTGAGCCCAGACTTACAGGGCTTCCCAAACTGCCTGCTGAGAAACCAGGAGCTTGGAAGCCCTGAGACTTTCTTGGGATCTGTGACAGCACTGCCATGTGGACTGCCCTGGGCCAGGGACGCTCAGGGCTTCCAGACTCATGGGCAGTGGGCTCCCTAAACTGACACTAGTGTTTGTTTTGGAAACGTGTCCATGTTACTGAAATCAATTTGGGGTGTGTGTGGGGCGGATTTCTGGTTCATGGGACACTTACACGAATTTTGATTCATTCCTTTTTGTAATGAAACCAAATTGCAAAAACGCAAAATTTCCCATAAACCCCATGTTTTGGCCAGTTCTTCTCTTCTCTTCCCAGTCCAAGAGTCTGGGATAGGTATCTGGTCCTGCTCTGGTTTGGGAATATCTAATGGGAAGCTGGTCAAACACCTGGATAAGCCTCTAAACCTTTTCCTTCTCTTTCTGCAGTCCTGGGCGGCAGGAGACATCGTCAGCTGTCTGATAGACCTGGATGAGGGGACCATTGCTTTCTGCCTGTAAGCATCTTTGCAGGGCTCCCTGCTGCATTGACTAGCCCTGCTTAGTGTAAATATTCCTCTTTCCTCTATTCTCAACAGATGCTGCCAGGCCTTGGTTGAGCTCCTCCTGGCAACCGCCAGGAATATTGTACTCCCATGGCTGAATCCTTGGCCAAAGTAGCAGCTTGGTAGGGTACTTACCCTTTCTCCCTGGCTCCTAATAGTCATGGAACGCAAATGGTTTACTTCTGAGCATGACTTAAAGCACGGGTAGGCAACCTATGGCACGCGTGCCAAAGGCGGCACGCGAGCTGATTTGCAGTGGCACTCACACTGCCCGGGTCCTGGCCACCGGTCCAGGGGGCTCTGCATTTTAATTTAATTTTAAATGAAGCCTCTTAAACATTTTAAAAACCTTATTTACTTTACATACAACATAGTTTAGTTATATATTATAGACTTATAGAAAGAGACCTTCTAAAAACGTTAAAATGTATTACTGGCACGCGAAACCTTAAATTAAAGTGAATAAATGAAGACTCAGCACACCACTTCTGAAAGGTTGCTGACCCCTGACTTAAAGGATCTGTTTTTGGTGCAGAGCTAACACAGGTGAATGGTGCTTGGGTTAACCTAGCCCAGATGTGAGCAGCCACACTGCGAATACCTGGTCAAGTTATTGGGTCCACACCTAAGTTCCCTCTAAGCTGCGCAGTCGCACAGCAGCCTATTAAGTGCCGTGCAGGCACTCAGGGCTGTGGCAGGGAGAGATGCCTCTTCCCCAGCCCTGGGCCTGCTGTCGCTGGGGGAGAGGCACCCCTCCCCACTGACCCTGGCCCCGGGCCTGCTGCGACCGGGGGAGAGGCACCTCTCCCCGCTGACCCGGGCCTACTGTGACCGGGGGAGAGGTGCCCCTCCCCACCGGCCCCAGCCCAGCCCCGGGCCTGCCGCAGCTGGTGGAGAGGTGCCTATTCTCCCCAGCCCAGGTGCTGATGCAGGGAGAGAGAGCTGGGGGAAGTCCTCTTTCCCTGCTGTAGCTCTGGGGCAGCCTGTCCTGCACCCGAAACTCCTCATTCCTGGCCCCACCCCAGAGCCTGCAACCCCAGCTGGAGCCCCCACACTCTGAGCCCCTTGGCCCCACCCCCACCATGTGAATTTTGTGACACATCACCTCCATATTGGTGCACATAACAAAATTCGTTCCGCACATGTGTGGAGGGGAAAATTAGAGGGAACACTGGTCCACACTGGTGCTGCACTCCTCCGAGTGTGTTGCTAGGACTACTGGGGGCATATCCCATGGTTCTTAGCACTGCAGTAAGCTGAGATGCTCTGATCGTTTTGCAGTGAGTCATGGGAGAACTTGTCTGTCCTGGGCACATGAGGAATTGTGGGAAGGTATTGGAGTACTATTGGCATGAACCTGCTTCCTTACTGCAAACTGGATGGGGTACAAGCCCAAGTGAAAGCAGCACCTGGGCTTTAGCCTATAGCCCCAGATGAGCTAGCTGGTCTGGGTTGAAAGCTCTGTCAAATGTAGGTCAGAGGTTTGTTTGTACCTGGGAGCCAGGTTAACTTTGTAGTGAAGACAGCTTAAAGCAGCCCAGGGGTTCAGGCTGTGCCCTCAGGAGTGGGGGAGTGCCACTACGCAGGCTAGGCGTGGTGGGGAATCACTCAGGGCTCTGGGTCAGGTGTCTGAGGCGTTGCATGGAGTTCTGCACCATCGCAATATTGCACTTGTGAAAACTCCCCCTGCCCCATTCCATGGACTCCCCTGCAGCAGTAGCTGTCTGACAGATGCAGAGCTGCTGCAGGCACGCAAAGTGGTGAGCAGAGGGACTGTGCTAATGGGAAGGGCAAATCTGCATCAGATCTTGGTTTTAAACTTCTAAAAGGCTGGTACAAAGCTAGAGAACTAGATGTAGGTGAGTGCTGGAATTAGCTGTTAAAGGGAGCTGCAAAGCAGACTGCGAATGGGGCTTGTTCTTTGCACTGTCTAGTGGCTACAGAAAGCCTGAAAAGTGTCTTTAGAAACACTTTTTTTTTTCTGCTTGTGTTTTCCATGAGAAATTCCATTCATGTCTAGCTTGGAAGACTCTGGGGCTGGAGAGCTAGTAAAATAATAGTGCATGACGCCGGAGAGTGAAAGTTGAGTGAGTGAGGAAAGGGAGCTCCAGTCAGACTGTCTAATGCTGCTGTAAATTGAACAGCTGTTTATCTTCAGTGACTTTGTTAAAAAGTCTATCCCCAGCTCTCTGTTTAAAGGGTGAGAGTTCCAAATATGCCACCCACACCCCCAGCCATCTTGTCTGGGGGAGGGGTGGTGGTGGGGGAACCCTTGCAAGCTGCCTTTGGGCCTTTTTTGCTGCTTTCCAATGGATAATCTCTTGGGAAAAAAAAAATCTCTTGAAGGTCACCTTTAAACTCAATCCCAGGCAGCTATGTGACGAAGGGTAGATGAGCTCCCCCTTCTGGGGCACTTAAAGTGTAACAGCCTGCACTCCTGTTCCCGTTGAGTGTGAGGCATTTTCTCCGGGGCCAGGGCAAGCTGGGGGTTGCTGGGCTTGGCTCTATGACAGCTGGTTGATTGGCAAAACAGGCCCAGTGGAGTGTGGCAGTATTCTCTCCAGGGAATGGGAATCTCCGGTGTGGAGCAAACTGCTGCTGGGTGCCGGCCAAGGGAGGGGAGTCCAGAAAGTGATGGGCGTTTCTGATGCACGGCAAGGACTGAATGCAGGTGCTTTGTGGAGAAGATGCTCTAAGGCTGCACAGTAGTACAGACTGCAGGTGTGTGAACTGCAGTGTCCACCAAAGTACTGCACTGTAGCTGCGGTGTGGACGCTGCTGGCATGAACTGCAAGGTGCCTAGTTTGCTCTGTACACACAAGACTACGTTAATGTGAAATGGAATAATGGAAGCATAGGACTGGAAGGGACTTCGAGAGGTTATCTAGTCCAGTCCCCCGCACTCATGGCAGGACTAAGTTCACGTCAGCAGTGTCCAGTGCAGTTACATCACAGCACTTCAGTGCATGCTGCAGTTTGCACCCCTGTAGTCCACATGAGGGACTGTGTAGACAAGCCCTTAGCTTCCCAGTCGGAATGGGAACAGCTCATGGCCCCTCCCTCCTAATTACATTGGCACCAGGGTTTGCTTCCTCCTGCTGGGAACTGGGAGCAGCACCATGAGAACACATTGCTGTTGGACCTGGTGGGCAAAGCACAGAGCACTTTCTGGCCCTGAAAAGTAAAGCCTATGGAGGGGCTGATGTTGAGAGTTCATGGGGGGGGGGAAACGTCCTTCACCCAGGCGTGTCTGTTTTTGGTTTTCCTTGCTAAACCGGTTAGCAAAGTGTTACCCTGCAATGCCTGTCCCAGGCCAGGCCCCTGCACATGTCCTGTGGGCTTAGTGCTGGTGGCATGGCACAAGCACTCTGCAGCACAATGGGACTGAATTCCATAGCAGTGCTAACATGGTCTGTCTGTGACATCCCTCACGTTCCCACCCCCCAGGCCCACAGCCATGGCTCTGGAGAAAATCCTCTTCAACATAACTTGCTTGATTTTGATGCTGGGTTCTTGTTGTGCTTGCTGACTGCAGGGACCTTGGCAGCACCTATTATGCCCAGGCCTGCCAATCTGTGTTGGAAATGGGGCAGCTTGTAGCCAGCATCAGCAGCTCATCTGCAGCTGCCTTGCTGCTCTAGCTGCACTTGCTGCTCCTTGGCTCCAGTTCTACGTCTCTGACCCCCCTCCCCTCCATTGCCTGGCACCATAGATCTGTGCAGGGAGCATACACTGGTGACCAAGAGGCAGCTGCAGGCAGGTCCCAGCCAGGCAGGGGGACAGGAAACAGGATGTGGGCAGCCTGATCAGCTGTGGAATTTACCCTGTGCTGCAAGTTGAATGCTGTGGCTGAGGAATCGGAGATCTGCAGGGCCCTGACATAGATGAACAGGGCAAATCACACCCGCTGAGTGTTATCTGTGGTGTATTGGATACCATTATTGCTACATATTCCGTTCATGTTTTCAGTGTTACCTCAGCACTAAAAAGGCTAGAGACACATTTTCTGAATGAGATTCTGGAGCGCATGTCTGGTATGGATTCATGGGCCCCTGGTGCTTGGTGGTGATTTCCGTATCTGCCAGTGCACATCTCCCCCTTGCTGTGTGATCACAGTAAATAAGAGAAGTCTCTGGTCTATTGCCTCCTCCTCCAAACATGGTCTCTGAGATGGATCAACCACTAACCTCTTCCAGGCTAGTTAAGCCCCATGGAGGCTGTCTCTTCTTTCAGGAATGGTGTGTCTCTGGGAACAGCTTTCGATAACATCACCAGGGGAGCTGGCATGGCGTATTTCCCCGCTATCAGCCTCTCCTTTAAAGAATCAGTCGCTTTTAACTTCGGCAGCCGCCCACTCCGATATCCTTTCACAGTAAGCCTGGGGGAAGAACAGCTGGCACCTAGACCATTCTGGGTGAGGGGTGCTGAGTGCACAGCCAAACTCTGCAATCCATGATCCTGCCCTTGCTCATCCTGCTCAGATGCGCTCTTCGCCGCCCCTAGGGTGGGAAGTTAAGCAGGGGTGGCAATACGAAGGGCCTTCTCCTGTACTGGGGGTGTTCCACTTTGCTCTCAAGTGAAGTGGGTATAATGCTGTCTCAGCTGTAGGCTGACTGGTCTTGAGTGCCAAGACCCCTTCACTGTATCTTACTCTAAGTGTAGAAGTCCCAAAGGGGCCAGGAGTGTGGGCCCCTTTTGCTATGGGCCCTTCCCATCCTCCACTCTGGGCTGAGGGTGCTCTAATATATCTCCTGGCATGGCAAAACTGCCTCACACATTGGTGAGAGGGTTGGGAATGGCAGCCCATAGCTGTGTGGCTCTCGGGTCTGAGGAGCCCAGAGGTGATCTCAGTCACTGAGATGCAGAAGAGCGAAGTCTGAAATACTTGTACTTCCTTGTGGCCTCTTGGAATGTCTGTGTCCTGCTTGGCACACAGACTTGCAAGCATGGGGTGGCCTCAAGCTCTGACCAGAGACTATATGGACTGTATAATACAGCACATGCATGGCAGTCTCCTTGCGGAGCCAGTGGGACAGGTCTTCTGTTGTGTTCTGGCTAGTAGACTTTTCTTAACACTCCAGCACTTATCCGGTGGAGGGATATCGCCCCCTGCAGGACCCGCCCAGCATGGACCTGGTGGAAGCTCACAAGCTGTTGGGCTATCTGAAGAACGTTATTCACATTGGGATAGACGTGTTGGTAAGTTGGCATCATCAGGTTAGTGAGGCTAAGATTCTAGGAAATTTGTGCTGCTGCCTTCCCTCTGCCTGGCACTTTAAAATCTCTTAAAACTCTGAGGATACTCTCTACCTTCAGGGGTATGTGTTTGTGGGGGCTCCTGTGACTTGGTGACTCCTAATTGCCTATCACTCAAAAGTTGCAATAGGTCATCTCTAGCTTGTTTAAAATATTTTTTGTTTGCAGTGGTGTTGTAGCCATGTTGGTCCCAGGACATTAGAGACACAAGGTGAGTGAGGTCATGTCTCTTCCACCAACAGAAGCTGGTCCAGTAAGAGAGAAGTTTTAGAACTGCACAGAGGAGTTCTTCAGGTCTGGGAAAGGTCCTCAGTGTCGCAGCTAAATACAAGGTGGAACAGATTAAACATGAGGTGTTAACACACATTGCAAGAAACCACTTTAAACAAACTGGTCAATTAATACCTCTACAGTATCAGAAGCGAGCTCCCCACAGACCAGGACCCACAAACTCAGAGGCACCAGACTCTGGCAGAATAAAGGATGCAAAACTTCAGACATAGCTCCACCGTTAAGATGATCAGTACCCCCATAACACTTTTTAGGATCCATGGGTCCTACATATGACTATCACAACCTGTGGTATACCTCATCCCATGCATCAAATGCTCCACAACACCAATGTGGCAAGCTTGCACAGAAAAGTGATAAAAGATCAAAACACCCTCGCACTTGTGGGGAATGCCTTTCCCAAAGCGATCTCTCAATGTCTGACCTCTCAGTCCTCATCCTCAAAGGAAACCTGCACAACACCTTCAAAAAATGAGCTTGGGAACATAAATTCATAACTCTGCTGGACTCAAAGTCCTGGTCTACATGCAAAGTTGGGTCATTTAAGCTGCCTTGTGTTGACCTAGTTGTGCATGTGTCTACCCTTAAGCGTGTGTCCTACTGATGGAAGCACCCTGTTACAGCAACACAGCATCACCACTTCCCCAAGGGGCACCAAGCCATGGTCGATGTATGGAGGTGGCTGCAGCATGAATGTAGACACTGCATTACTTATGTCTACCCTAACAGTCCTTCAGCAGCCGTCCCACAATGCCTGACACTGACTGCTCTGGTCATGATTGTGAACTCCACTGCCCAGGGGTCACAGAGACCGGAAGGCCCCCCACTACATTTTTAAAGCCGTGTGAATTTTTGAAATGTCTTTTCTTGATTGTCTTGACGAGCACATCGAGCAGCTCTCTATTGTGTACGACTGCCCAACTCATCATGCCAGCTACGTGCTCCAGGCACTCTGGCTTGGAGTAGACAGGAGCTATTGGATTCCTGGGCCTGTGGGGAGAAAAGGTTCTGCAGGCACAGCTACGGACCAGTAGTAGAAATCTGGACATCCATGAGCAGATTGTATGGGGGATGCAGGAGAAGGGGTATGACAGGGACCAGCACCATGCTGTGTGAAAGTGTAAGAATGCAACAGGTGTATCAGAAGGCCAGGGAGGCCAACAGTCAATCCATTGCCAAGCTGTAGACCTGCCGCTTTTACAAAGAGACGCATGCCATACTCTGCGGAGACCCCATCACCACCCCACAGACCATCAGGGATACCTCCAAGGAGCCTGAGCCTTAGGCCCCTGGCGTGAACAGTGAGGAGGTGGAGGAAGAAGAGGATGGGGAATGTGTGACTCGGGGGTCCAGATATGCCACGAGCCAGGACCTGTTTGAGATTCCACTGCAGTCCCAGCTTTTGAGCATGGGCGAGCCTGATGTGTAGGGGAAGGAATCTCAGATAAGTGTGTAATTGTATTTCCCATTACAATGCTATACCGATGGTGCTCCCATCTTAAAAGGACACAACTATCAACTTTTCATTAATTTACTTGTACAAGAAGAGGTAGCGGTGGAACAAAGAGGTAGCATTATCATCTGCTTTTCAGTGCCCTGTAGAGTTAAGCAAGGGTGGTGGGAGGGCACACCAAGCAGTTTATGTACACAGGGATGTTCCTTGAATCTTCCTGAGAGATTTTGGTGAAACTTTCATGGAGGTTCTCTGCAATGCTCTCCCAAAGGTTTCTAGGGATGACGGCCTTATTACTTCCTCCTCGGTAGGACACTTCCCACTGCACTCAGCAATAATTTCAGCAGGCACTGTTCATTTGCCTCAGTCTTCACAGACTAGGTCAGCTCCCAGACTACTGCACTGGGCAGCACAGTATGGAGAGAAGGTGAGCAGCCCTCAGTGGTGAAAGAACAGGTTCAGGACTATTTAGAAAAGCTGGACATGCACAAGTCCATGGGGCTGGATGCAATGCACCCGAGGGAGTTGGCTGATGTGATTGCAGAGCCATTGGCCATTATCTTTGAAAACTCGTGGTGATCGGGGGAGGTCCTGGACGATTGGAACAAGGCAAATATAGTGCCCATCTTTAAAAAAGGGAAGAAGGAGAATCCGGGAACTACAGACTGGTCAGCCTCACCTCAGTCCCTGGAAAAATCATGGAGCAGGTCCTCAAGGAATCCATTTTGAAGCACTTGGAGGAGAGGAAGGTGATCAGGAACAGTCAACATGGATTCATCAAGGGCAAGTCATACCTGACCAACCTGATTGCCTTCTGTGGTGAGATAACTGGCTCTGTGAATATGGGGAAAGCAGTGGACGTGATATACCTTGACTTTAGCAAAGCTTTTGATATGGTTTCCTACAGTATTCTTGCCAGCAAATTAAAGAAGTATGGATTGGATGGATGGACTATAAGGTGGATAGAAATCTGGCTAGATCATCGGGCTCAACAGGTAGTGATCAACGGCTCGATGTCTAGTTGGCAGCCAGTATCAAGCGGAGTGCCCTAGGGGTCTGTCCTGGAGCCAGTTTTGTTCAGCATCTTTATGTAATGATCTGGATGATGGGATGGATTACACCAGGGGTTCTCAAACTGGGGGTTGGGACCTCTCAGGGAGGGGGTTGTGAGGTGGTTATATGGGGGGTTGTGAGCTGTCAGCCTCCACCCCAAACCCCGCTTTGCGTCCAGTATTTATAATGGTGTTAAATATATTTTAAAGTGTTTTTAATTTATAAGGGGGGTTGCACTCAGGGGCTTGCTATGTGAAAGGGATCACCAGTACAAAAGTTTGAGAACCACTGGATTACACCCTCAGCAAGTTTTCCGATGACACTAAGCTGGGGGGAGAGGTAGATATGCTCTAGGGTAGGGATACGATCCAGAGTGATCTAGACAAATTGGAGGATTGGGCCAAAAGAAATCTGATGAGGTTCAACAAGGGCAAGAGCAGAGTCCTGCACTTAGGACAGAAGAATCCCATGCACTGCTACCGGCTGGGGACCGACTGGCTAAGCAGCAGTTCTGCAGAAAAGGATCTGGGGATTACAGTGGATGAGAAGCTGGATATGAGTCAGCAGTGTGCCCTTGTTGCCAGGATGGCTAACGGCATATTGGGCTGCATTAGTAGGAGCATTGCCAGCAGATTGAGGGAAGTGGTTATTCCCCTTTATTCAGCACTGGTGAGGCCACATCTGGAGTATTGCGTCCAGTTTTGGGCTCCCTACTACAGAAAGGATGTGGACAAATTGGAGAGTGTCCAGCGGAGGGCAATGAAAATGATTAGGGGGCTGGGGCACATGACCTTATGAGGAGCAGCTGAAGGAACTGGGCTTATTTAGTCTGCAGAAGAGAAGAGTGAGGGGGGATTTGATAGCAGCCTTCAACTACCTGAAGGGGGGTTCCAAAGATGATGGAGCTAGGCTGTTCTCAGTGTTGGCAGATGACAGAACAAGGAGCAATGTTCTCAAGTTGCAGTGCAGGAGGTCTCAGTTGCATAATAGGAAAAACTATTTCACTAGGAGGGTGGTGAAGCACTGGAATGGTTTACCTAGGGAGGTGGTGGAAATCTCCTTCCTTAGAGGTTTTTAAGGCCTGGCTTGACGAAGTCCTGGCTGGGTTGTTATAGTTTGGTTGGTCCTGCTTTGAGTAGAGGGTTGGACTAGATGACCTCCTGAAGTCTCTTCCATCCCTAATGATTCTATCTGGGTCTGGGTGGCTTTGTGATGCTAACAGCAGCTATGCTCTGTGCCTTTTGTTAGCCTCAGGAGTGAGAGATCTGCTAAAATCACTGTTGTATCTGGAAAACTGCCAGTATTGAATGCCATTGCCCTGTACTCGGTTTCATGGAGCCAAGCAGTTCACTCCGCATTTCGCTCACCCCTTGCGAGCCGTGCTCACCGTGGCTGGTGCTGAGTGGGGAGTCGTGCACAAGCACTCCAAAGCAGAAGTGTCAATAAGCACAGACATTCTTGTTTAAAGCTTTAGGGGAGCAAGAGAAGGGATTTCTGAAGCTTAATGTTCACTTTCCATTGGGACTATATCAACAGTGGTACTTGTGTGTGTTATCTGCCTCTGCTGCCATTGTCGCCTTGTGGGGTTCCCATTCCATGCCTGCGGGACACCTGAGCTAGGTGAGAGGAAAGGAGGATCTGGAATGGCATGTTCAGTGAGATCCTGCAAGCCAGTGCTGTATCAGAGTGTGAGCACAGGGCCTGGAGGGTGAACACTGCAGACAGCCTGGAGAAGGAAGGAAAGTCCCAGGAGTCCCATCAGGAAAAGGAGAGGGAGATGCACCCGGATGCAATGGGCTTCTCTGGCAGCAAATATAGGTGCTGCAGCCTTTTGTGGACCTACAGGTTCAACAATCCGGGGTTCGTCTCCCTTTGCAGTCAATGGAGAACTCCACTGCAGCACCTCCTGACATCCCCCAATATTCCACATGACATCAGGGGCTGAATCCCTACCCTACCACTCCACCCCGACGGACATTAAGGACAACCTCGGCTTCATGTGCACTGACCTGTGATAGCCACGGTTGCTGTAGGTGTAGGTAAAATGGACATGAATGTTCTTTCCCCTTAAGTTTTGTTCCATTAATTTATTAAGTTTTTAGTGTATTTGCTTTTAAATGGCACAGATTTCTTTGCACTGGGTTTC